TAAATGTTTATACAAGAATTAAGGGCTTGCATAACTTATATTGACCTAAATTCAGAAAATAAAATGTTAATGGCTCATTTAATTCAGAAACTTGTTTTCTCAAACACAGCCAGTTTGTCTGATTCAGTTTGTAGCTAATCTATTGGTTTAATCTCAAACACAGCCAGTGTGTCTGATTCAGTTTGTAGCTAATCTATTAGTTTAATCTCAAACACAGCCAGTTTGTCTGATTCAGTTTGTAGCTAATCTATTGGTTTAATCTCAAACACAGCCAGTTTGTAGCTAATCTATTGGTTTAATCTCAAACACAGCCAGTTTGTCTGATTCAGTTTGTAGCTAATCTATTGGTTTAAAGACCGAATCTTTTTTAAACGTGGTCAAAGTATGGTAAATAAATTATATCACAATCAGTATTAAATAAAAAAACAATAGTTAAACAATCGTCATGTAGTGTTTATTTTGTGGAAATTAAGACGGAATTACATTGTGCAATACGAGAGATGGACTTTAATTTCTTGATAATTATTTGGATAGAATTTCTTGTCAGATCCATCGTATATTAAAAATAAGAAATTTTAATAAATCGTGAATCTTTCTTTTTAAGAAATCTCAAAACGGAACTCAACGTAACTTGAATATTGGGTACTATATTAGACGATTTTTACTCTTATACTCTTGAATCTGCCAGTCGTTAGTGTTGTCAAAATGAAAATTAGAACGGCGAAATAATACAATAAAACATATCTTGATATGATAAGAATATCTATGCCCGAAAATATAAAGTACAATCCGACTCGTTTAAGAAAATTTAGAATAATAGCTCACAATATGAATTAAAACAACCAAGTGACATCACTGAAGTATAATCTTCTAATTTAATAGGACTACCTGCATAATCTAATTGGACTATTGGTTGTTTGCAATTAAGCACAAAGCTACACAATGGGCTATCTTTGCTCTGTCCACCACCAGGTTTCTAGTGCTGTAAGTCCGCAGACATACCGTTGTGCCACTGGTGGGCTCCTGTACTGTAAGTCCGAGGGTTCATGGTTTGTGTTCCGTTGGCCTCAAAAATGCACCCCTCAATTTTAGTTGCGCTTATATGGGTCGGGCAAGTAACATTTATTCAGCCAGACTATAATAGACCAAGAGGTTACGGTGGGTCAAGTTGAGTAGCTGCTTTCTCTAACCTATCAGTTAAAATTAAGGATGCAAAAATTTTAAAACAAGAAACAAGCTAATGCAATAATAAAAATAATAGGTAATCATTTATTCGCATTTATTCATTTATGATTCGCAATCTAGTAGCTAAAATATATACAGTTTGGTTTAATATTCGTTAATGTAGAAAACTAGTTTACACCCTAAATGATTTACTGTATACATATGTATATATATTTTAATAAACTTGTCATGGTGACTATGTCTGTTATTTCGTGCGTGTGTTAAAAATTGTTGGAATATTTCTTAGAAGTAGACATACGTTCATTTTGATGTTTACCACCTGAAATTTGAAAATATTTATAACTATTTTAAACAGCATAACCTAAAAACGAATTATACTTGGCAATTGAAAACCCTTCTGGATCTTAAATGTTATTCATCTTGGTTATGTATATCTTTTTATGCTTATGATTTAGCTTTAAATGACTTTCACCTAAATAATTGAAGTCTCTTAATTGGATACTAAATGTCTCTTTTCTCTCTTCTAAATGTCTCGAACCTGGTTGTACTTTTTTCTTGAAAAAACATTACATGTCTCTCTAAAGTAGATTTAGTCATTTCAGCTATGAGTAATATCTTTCCAGTTGTCAAGAGGTCCAACTTAAAGCTTTGTATTTTATACATACATTGATGTCTATGTGTATGCCCATATAAAGGTTAATAGATAACAGTCTACTAAAGCTCAAAGTTTACTAAAGCATATATATATTAGTAATTATTTGGGTCAAACCTATATTGATAGAGTACGGTCCGCTAAAATCTAAAAGAGAAAGTTGGATGAATTTATATTTAAAATTATTCATATAAATTATAATTATGAGAGAGCATATGTTTCAAGAAAGATTTTTCTCTTCAGTGTATTCTCTGAAGTTTCGATTTGTTTTATAAATTTTACTGAATTATTTAATACTGTTACTATTTCTTTTATGTCTTGTTAATCTATTCATATTTGCAGTTTCACACTGAAAGAAACAAGGGAAAACATGCACGAATAACAAGATTAGTTGTTTGTTTTTAGCGGTAAGCTAAGCAATGGATTATCCGCGCTCTATCCACTGTCCCGGGAATCAAACTCCAAAGTTTAGCGTAAAATGTCCGCAAATTTACGATGACCTATCGGAATACAGATTAAGATTGTTCTAAGTAAGACGCCACGGCTAGTCTTAAAACATTTATTAAACAACCTCGTGTAAAATTTCTCTATTTATTGCTGTAATGAATATCATGCTTATTACTTCTGCAAAAGTGTAAATGTTGGCGTTATAGCTACCTTTATTATAACATGTTTACTTTCTATAGGTAATTCAAAAACTACTGATACACAAAACAAGAAGAAAAAAAAGATTTAGTAAGAAGAACATTAACAACTTACCCCTACACTTTGCGCCTGCCATCTTGGATAAAAGATGTATCACACATGTTCGGTGTCTTGCGCAAGAATATAATTAGTCCAACTCTACGACGATATGTCCAGAAGTATTTTGTAGGTCAAACCACCGAAGACAACAAGGCGTTAATTACAGATATATATATCTATATATATTAATATTATATATACTGTTGTGGATATAACTTTTCGGACAGTACCCTTCTTCAGGTATCACTAAGTGAACAGTAAATCCGTAGACTGTATATCTGCAGTTGACTCCTTGGTGGACTAACCTACAACACACTTCTTTTTATCTCTTTCAACAACCACTACGTGTAATTTCCTACACTCACGATATATCCAGTCCTAGCAGTCTATATGTTTACTAACCTTAAGAGGATTTATTTTATTCATACAGCTTATAAGAATTAGTTATTTCCATGAATGTCATGAACATTATTAACGATGTTTGTATTATTCATTTTATTTTCTCTTAGCTTAATGCGATGGAACATAAATTAATTTTTATATGGTTCATTATTTTAGACCGATTTTGACATCGCTTTGTTCCAATCATACCATACTTGCACTGCGCTTTCCCTTCATCTTTTTGAAGGTTGTACTTATTCCTACCAGGTATTGATTCATGCCACTATAAATAATAAATTGAGGGTTATTACTATTATTTACAACACATAAATTTAATTTTTTTCCTCGCAACTCTCTCATGGTTAATTCATTCCAACTCACATTTCTCTGATATTTCCTCCTTTTCTCCTGCTACATTCCTGTATTATGTATCAATTTTTTTTTCAAAACCCAAGCCGAACAAGTATTTGTTTTTCTGATCTTGTACAACTGTTTTTATTATAGCATTTCATAATAATACGAGATCTTTTTGTCTCCATACCGCTGAAAAAGAAAGACAGCCACTCCCTCTAATAATTCAGTAACAATTTAGGGAACTGTAAACCCTTATTCCCTTAGGAATTGACCAAAAGCACCTTTATATACCCCAACCGATGTTCCTACCACTTAACTTCTTAACATACATTAGACTAAACTTTGATTTTATAAGTTGAAGCTCACAGCCGAGATTACAAGAAATCGATGTGGGAAACAAGTATTATTTTATAGATTGTGTAGGCAAAGTATTCATGATGAGTAAAATAGAATAGACGGCAAACGCCTGTTGTAAAAACCACAAGTGTAGAGGACGACGTTTCGAAAGTATTCCGTCTTTCGAAACGTCGTCCTCAAAACCTGTATTTCTTACAACAGACAGTTGTTGTCTATTCCAAGTTAGTCATCAGGAAACAAATAATTTAATTTTAGATTACTAATTAAAATAATAGTTGCAAAACTCACCCATCAAATAAAGACGTAACTTGATTTTATGTTTCAGTAGTGTAATCACTTTCTACCTTCGTTCTACTCTATGCAATTAGGCATTGCCTGCTGTATGTAAAGTTTTCAGAATCAAATGTCAAATATCTCCTGTGCTGAGACGGCACTTAGAAACCAGTGGTAAATTCTGGCCTTATTTAAATAAGTACCGTTAGGTTAACCTCCCATTTAACAGCTGGTACCCATCATACGGCTGGGTAGACTGAAAGCCATTGAGTCACACGTGTAAAGTTTCACTTGTTGCTAAATCATTCTGAGTTTTCATTTCCTCTTATTTGTACCTAATCTAGGTGCCAAGGTAATATTGAACAGCCGTGAATACTCATAGTGCCAGTGAAGGTTAAATATCAGATAACACTTGGCTGTATAAGAAAATAGTTTTGATCAAAATTTAGTTTAATTTTATAGTAATATATATATTTTTTTTCAGGAGTTATTCTTAAAAACAACAACTAAAGAGCTGTAGTAGTGATGTTAAAATGAATTTATCAATACTTCCTGAAGTATGTCCCTAGTATTTCTGACATACTCTTAATATATTAAGGTTTGTTACAAATTAACATCTGATGCACAGCTACATTTATTTTAAGGGTATCTTCAAAAATATTTTCTCTGTCTAAATTTTAAATTTAAGTTATAGTAAGACGACAAAGTAATTTAAATTATGATGCATATACAAAACAAAAATACATTAAAAATATTTTATATTTAATATACAGCATTTACATCTGTATTGTTCATGCTTATGATATAATTTAAATCTTCATTTTATGTGTACAGATATATTTCAACAACAACTATGTTATATGTTATATTTAGCATAAGAAAAAAATGGCTATAACTTGTAATATGGTTTAAGTACCATACAAAATATTTTCCTATCCCTCTTACATTGCTAAGTAAATGTTATCATTTCTAGAGCATCTAAAATTTTATATCAAACCATAGATATGGTTACTGAAATACACGCATTAAATAAATCAATTAAATCATTTCCTACCTTTAGCCAGTGACCTAATTTGTTGCAACTAAGATACAACACCCAAAGCTAATTATCTGACGACAAAGTAATGCCATGAAATATTTCAGCCATTTTCTCTAATATTTTCATTGTTATTAAATATTTATGCAGGAAAAACAAAACAAAAAACGAACACCTGTTAATATTGCAGAAATCAGTCACATTAGCAGAAAAGTAAAACGTCTGCATCTAACTTATTAGGAAACATAGTTATGATATGCTTGCCAATTACAAAAGTAAGGCTTTATAAGCCCAGAGAGTTAAAGTAACTTTACTTGCTGAAAACAGGGCTTCAACAGATCCAACGGTGGCCCCTCCTTCACACTTATAGGCCTAAAGGGAAAGCCCACTTGTTCGCGGGTAAGGAAAGGCAGAGATTGGCCGAGACTGCATTTCTTGGTTCACTCAATCGATTGGGCCTTTTGAGCTATAGCAGGGTTGATAAACAGAGTGATACCTTCGTGCATATCTTCTTTTGCCGTAGTCTCTGATATAATATTATAAATAAGTAGCCTTACATTGTAACTATGTCTTGAGAAGGTTGCCTGCAGCTATTATACAGAGGAAGCATGATTTGTGCTGTTGTTGATAAGCCGGAAATTCAGTCTCTTTAGTGTATCCTACTGTTGAATGTTCTTTACAGAGGATGTTTGTTGAAATCTTAAGCATAAATGGAAGCGATTTTCTTCCATTCCCTTGACTCTCTCGAACCTCTTGTTGAGAAAAAAAATCAATACTGTCGATAAAACCATGCTAACGAGTACACAGTATTCCTTAACTTCCGTGGTTATGATGATATGTTTTTTCCAATATATATTTAAAGGTGATCTGTAAAAATATTATATCGTTACACCTAAATATGTTTTAGATATTCGATGAACAAATTTGTTTGCGATGCAAAAGTTGCCGTAAAAAGTAATACAGTAATAAACTTTCTAATGACTATTTCTGGAAAATACATATCATATAAGTGACTACACATTCACTCATAATTTGTCAAATTTGCAAATATATGCCGTCGTTTCAAAGTAAACTAAGAAACTATTAATCATTAGTTTTATTTACGTTTTAATAATAAAGCCTTTAAAAGTATTAATAAGAAAAAAATGATTTTAGCAAATGACAAATCCTTGTAGCATTTTTGATGTGTGCGCAAGTTATTTTTTCCTTAATAGACACACATATATATATACATACATACGTACATCACATTTTATTACGTATTTAATTATTGCTGGAAGAAAAAAGATAGTTCTTGTTTTGCGTGAAAATATTCGAAACAAGTAATGCACAAATTGTAGTAATTTAGCTGAGTTTTTTTTTTTTTAATTTCGCGCAAAGCTACACGAGGGCTATCTGCGCTAGCCGTCGCTAATTTAGCAGTGTAAGACTAGAGAGAGGGCAGCTAGTCATCACCACCCACCGCCAACTCTTGGGCTACTCTTTTACCAACGAATAGTGGGATTGACCGTCACTTATAACGCCCCCACGGCTGAAAGGGCGAGCATGTTTGGTGTGAGAGGGAATTTAGCTGAGAACAAATATATTTTCTTTGGATTAGAAATACCAAATATTAGACATAAGAAAGAAAATAAATTATTTTAAACATTAAAGTTAAATGTTACGGATTAAGAAGTTGTACAGACTTTAGTAGCTTTAAGAAAACAATACACAACAACAAAATTTAAACGACATAACTTACAAACAGATATAAACTAGGTGAATTTTACTCAGAAAAAATAAAGCTTTAAATTCTGTCATAAATAGATCTAATACCCGTCATGAAAATCAAATAAACTGCCTATTTTGTTAATAGGCATATATATAATTTAAATGGATTGTCCATTACACATATTTTTGATCACCGACTAAAAAGTATGAGAGCGTTTAAAATCTTTTAAGTTAACTGTGGCTAACATGGATTTTAATTCAATTTTGAAATATGTACAAAAATAATGAATAATACTAACAGGACACGTGGTACCCAAGATTAATTCATATTAGGGGTTTCACCTCTTCAACGTGCTAATGAATCACGTGAAACTGTTCTAAGAACCCAAGAAAAAATATAAGATACTGCCACTATTGTTTATAAGTTGAAATAGAAGCCAACAGTGGGTGAAGTGTATCTTAGCGATTCTTGTAAGAAATTATCTTAAGGCTTTGCTTCCAAGATTCATCTCTTTTCTTAGATTAAAAAAACAACAGAAATCTAGAAATCGATTGATCGGTCTTCTATCTGTTTGCCTTTCTAATTACATAGAGTGGGTTGTTTTTTAAAGTTATTCAACATTTTTCAATTGTAGCTACATAAATTTAAAAGTAGCTGTTTCTGAGAGAGGTAGCCACATTTGTCTCGAAAACATATTCTAGCATGAAATGTAACAGAAATTATTTATTTTTGTTTTCTAAAGGGCTCTAAATCTATATTAAAGAACATTATTCGTAAACTTTCGATAACATCAGGTTTAAAAATAAATATTACACTGCTTAAAGAAGCAAACTTGTTGCACTTCCATTTGACCAAATACTCTATTCTAGTATTCTTGCAACATAGTATAATTCAAAGCCTAATCATGTGAAAACCGAAATTTTTACTATAATGTTACAAAATAGGTAATTAAGCAGGCGAAGTTACCTTTGAAAGATACTAGTTTAAATATATTGTTAATACTGGTTATATGACTCAATGTTTAAAAATCATACACATATAATCAAGTTTTAGGTATGAACATCTTTCAATTAGGGCTAGAAATAAAAAAAATATAATGTTTTAAAATCACAGAGTTCGTTATTTCTTGCGCAATGCTACACAAATGAGCTAGTTTGACTCTGTATAATTTGGGGAATCGAACCTCAACTTTTTGTAAGTTTGTAATTAGCGATGACTCACTGTATTTAAGAACTCGCTAGTTTTGACAAAAATAGCGAAATGCTATTTTTCTTCTCCAGTCTACATATAGTAAAATGTTTTAGTTTTTATTAGCGTTACTGAAATTTAATCTATTTTCTCGCTGTTTTACTCTACCGGATGAATGTTTTAGTTTTTATTAGCGTTACTGAAATTTAATCTATTTTCTCACTGTTTTACTCTACCGGATGACTACCTCCTCTTAGTTCTATCACAAAGGTACATACCGCATGACATACATCATACTCATGGTAACGCTCCAAACATTTTTCTCTAAAAATGCCTTACAAAAACAAAGAAATTCTTTTTACAGAGGCCTAAGAAAGATTTTAACCTCATTATTAGCCATTGTTGGCGTAAAGAAAACGAATGTGTGTATTAGGCTGCAGCATTTCAAAGGCAGAGTAGCGTATCCTATCATCAGAAAAACAAAATTTAATAATGGTGATATTCATTTCCAGACACGAAATGTATGTACGAAAAGTAGTAGTGAATAATTTTGACAATTTCGTGATCATGGGTCATTAATTACATTTTATAGTTTGATAATTGCTTCTAGAGCCAGGTATTAGTCTATAAACCAAACTTCATAATTGGTGAAAATGTCGAGGATTTTTCATAGTATTTGAGCTTTTCGTCGACGAAAACTTTAATAAATTTCATAAGATATCCCGAATCAAAACTAAAACAGGTGTTTATCTATATCCCAATTAATTCATGCTAAATCATCTATACGTATTATTTATGGCTATAGGTTCGGCTTCTCCTTATTGAATAGTGTTTTACTAAAGGGTTAAGTAGACGAAATAAGTAACATGTTGTATACAAATAACCATAAGTTGAACGGCACAACATTTCCTCTCAAAATATCAAAAAGATAAACATATTCATCATATATCAGTTAGGTTGCAGATAGATTACCTGCATTAAGTGAAAATTGACAACATCTCCATTATTTTGCTCCAACATTGACAACTGAGGTGCTGTTTCATAATATCAGATACAATCATACAGAAAAACCAATATGTGGTTCTACTTGAACGTCCATTATTCGTCGACAATGGTTGGCTCTTAGGACTAGAGCATCTGATATTTTGTTTGTCCACAAGGAGATTAAAAAGCCAATCAGAATTTTTTATACCGAACTTGAGATTTTGGTAAATTTGTAGAAGTGTGTTTTTCATTATATTATAATGATTCCTGGAATGCAGAGTACGTCAGGGGTACACATTATCGATTCGATTAAGTATTATCCTCTTGGAATGCAGTGTAATCATTCATATCTTGGATTTGGATATAACATTTGACAACATAATGTTAAGAAAGTGTATAGCTATCTTTTCCAGTTTCTTCCAGTTGTGTGTACTTTATAAAGGTGGATGGTGTTTCTATAAGTGGATAGGACTGAATGCAGATTTTTATTTGTCTGAACTTATGTATATATATTTCCCATTTATATACTACACGTGTTTGTATAGGAGGATAATGTTATTAACGTGTTTTACGAACTGCTGAAAAGGTATTACCAACACTAATATTTTCATAAATATTGAACGAGACAGTCAATTATGTTTTTATGATTTAGTATACGTTTAACGTACTGATTACAGTTTTTCATTTCCATATCTAATCATACTTTTGCATTTCCTGACATTCTATATGTGAAACACTTTGATTTCTATAATTAATATATTACATCTATTTATCCTGAAAAGGACGCTTATTTAAATTTCATGTTTAGCTTTATAAGTTGATCACTAAAGCCTAAAGAATTATTATTGTAGAAATTCTTGAAGAACATTAAGTGAACTACTGCATATAGGTGTTCTTTCTGCTTCTATCTGAGGTAATTAACACTGAACACAAATGATAGAAAGGTCAACATACATAATCACCAAATTGTGTGGATTATTTACTCCTATTGGACATTTAGTCTCTTATTATGTCGAAGAGAGAGGTCTGATTAAATTCCAAGTTCAATATGGCAGAAAAATTATATGAAAACAAAAGTTGAACAAGTCAGTTATAATACATTGTACATGTTGCTATTTATGATTATACATTCATTGCTAAAATATAAATCTTGTACTTAATATTGGAAATAAATTCTTCAAACTCTGCATAACCATATCTTTTTAAATAAATTTAAAAACAGTACATTATAAATTTAATGTTCACTATGTTTCAACCTAACTAGAGATGGTCAACTTTTGTATATCACTGAACTTAAAAGTCAGGAAACATAGCTTACTGGTTCTTTTACTTTACACAGTGATAGAAAACACTAAATGTGTGTTAACGATACTCCTTTTCTCAATATTTGATAAAACAAGTACATTTCAATTAACGTACAACTCATGTATAATTTC